GAAGAAGTAGATGTGTGGAAATAGAAACAGGGCAGAGAGAGAGAAAGAGAGAGAAAGAGAGAGAGAAAAAGAGAGAGAACACACACAGAGAAAGAGAGAGAGAGAGAAAGAAAGAGAGAGAGAGAGAGAGAGAGAGAGAGAGAGAGAGAGAGAGAATAGAGAGAGAGCGAAAGAGAGAGCGTGGGTGGAGAGAAATTTAGATACAAATAAATTAAGATAGATAAAAATCGATAAACTGACAGTGTAATAAAGACAGAAGGGCAAACCAAGACTAAGATCTCTAACTGGAGAGGAATCGGGAAACACACGCAGGAATCCAATTAATTAATCCCAGCCTCAAAGCGAGGACACCAATGTTGAGAGAGCGTACTCCATGTCTGATGGTCTTCCGTACAAGTCACGTGATAGCCATTAGCCGCGAGATACCACGAGATCTGGAGGAACTATTAAAACACAGAATTGATACTACGATAGAGAGCCTTACTTTGCAGTTTTGTCGTGAACTGGTGGTCGTGTACACCACTGATAGTAATAAAGACGCTGGAGCAATTAAAACAACACATACTATTATGATGTGATGTGGTGTGGAAGTTGGGTTTTTCTTCGTCTTTTATACAATAAAAGTCGAGAGTTCATTTGCATGAGCAAATAATTGTTGTTGTTTTTATCGATTGACTGTCTTCCTCTCTGTGTGCCTTTCCCAAATAAACCAGGTTGCTCCTAGTAGGCAAGGTCGAAAAGGCCAATCTTCTGAATTATTGCAACTTACGTATCTTTATGAGTGATACATTTACAACAAGAAGTTTGGAATACCAAAAAGTAGATATTTAGTGGTTTCCTTTATTCTGTTTAGGTGTTTTAACATTTGCGTATCGAAATGATTCAGTGGGTTTCGATCTTGACTGTTGGGGTCAACATGGACAAAGAGGAATAACATCCCAGCAGAAAGACCGAGATGATCAGAAAATGTCTCTCCACATAAGAATCGAACTCGTATATTCTTCTGTATGCTGCAACGAACCACCTAACCGCACACCACAGACGCCGATCCTGTAGTTATGACTCCCCTGTGCTAAGAGATGTTTACAACGCACCATCTGTACCTCTTCCCACCTCTATGCCCCCGCCACAGTCCTCACACTACTGGGCTAGTAATCTCTGACAAACAAGCCAATGGCTAAATTGGCACTTCGTTGAACAAACAAACCCCGGAAGCGGTCAGCGGCCATTCCGTAAACTCTTCCTGGGCGAACAGACAACGCCAGGATTTCGGGTACAGAGTCTGTCCTATTTTTGGATGGTCATCTCTGCCTGGGGATAGATTATCAGCGCCCCCTGTCTCCTGCGTGTTTGCAATTTGAGATGAGCAATTAACAAAGACCGTGCAATATTCCAAGACGTGTCCTGTCACTTACTCTTATCATAGATTTCTCAACTGGGCTCCTGGGGAGGAAGATTCTAGTATCACACTCAATTAGATTTATTTTAATCATATCATTCTTGTTAGCTCTTTTAGGGCACGAGAGATTTATAGCCGGTGTCCGATTGCATGCAGAAAACCAAAGCAATGTTGCAGCACTTATCGTATTATTATACACGCATCAGACACTCGAATTCACATAATATTTCACACTACAGGGTTTTGGGTGCTACAGGAAAATCCTACTCCTTGACTTTTCCGAACTTGTTTCTGTCTTGCTTTTTTCCTAGCACCAAAATGGCCATTATTTTGTCGATGTGCTTCTCTTTACTCTAGCTTGGCATAAGTATGATGTCAAACTCGCATTGACGAAGACAAAGAGACAAAAGTTAGAGCCTGGTGAGCTCTCTTTTATATGTCGGTACCGCCTGATTTACCCAATAATTATGTATTCGCATTCTTCTATACGAGATGTTATTGAAGCACATTGAGAGTATGGGTTCTGAGCCTCTCAACTAAAATGTTTTCACCCCTCCCTTTCCTCCCACCTTCGACATCATTAAGTCATTACGGACGCAATTTCATTGGGCGCTGCCTATCGGGACCCAACCAGGACTTTGTTGGTTACTTTATGGCATTAGAAAGACGAATATTTATGTAAAAGATGCTTTATAATTACTGCTGAAAGAGTGGCAAGCCAGCATTGTAACACTGATTACAACCAAGTATATGATTAACACACACACACACACTCTCTCTCTCTCACACATACACACACACACACACACACACACACACACACACACACGCACGCACACACACAAACACAGTCACACACACACACAT